GTCATCCTGAAGTCGAGTTACAGAACAGGGACTAGAAGCCAGGGTTCAAGGGCTCCAGGACATGCCTGCCGCCTCCCACACTAAAGTATACAAACACCACAGAACAGAGCTGACCTTGATAATTAATGGCCAAGTCACATCCCCTTAAGCACTCTGGTAATGTGATCTGCTCCATAAACACAAAGCCTTGCCATTCAAAAAAAGATTATATTCCATTTCATGTTTTATATTAACAAGGATGGTAAATTCTCCAGGAAAGGGATCTTTTGTTCTCTGTACTAAAATTCCCAGGTAGGAAAGACTTGTTGAATGTGTTCAAGGAATATAAACGTATGCAGGCATATGCCAGACGGCGTCATGGAAGAAAACAGCACCGATGACGTGTGCTGGCGAGGAAAAGTGGGAATGGAGTATCTATTTAGGAAAACAGGACTGGCAAATCCCTACCTCACATCATACGTAAAACATAAACTGGTTAACAGAGCAGATGGACAACCTAAGACTATAAAAGCACAAGAGAATGTGGCAGAGGGCTTTGTAACCTTGGGATAAGGAAGACCCTTCTGGTATGTTTTTCTAGTCTTTATAGAAAAAAATCTGTCAGATTTGGCTTTCTGAAATTGAAGACTGAGGCAGAGGTTCTGTAACAAAAATTAATCTTAAATATATATTTTTAAATTTAACGTTTATTTTTGAGAGAGAGAGGGTGAGAGGGAGTGCGCATGCACAAATGGGAGAGGGGCAGAGAGAGGGAGACACAGAATCCAGAGCAGGCTCCAGGCTCCAAGCTGTCAGCACAGAACCCATCGTGGGGCTCGAACCCACAAACCGTGAGATCATGACCTGAGCCGAAGCCGGACGCTCAACGGACTGAGCCATCCAGGTGCCCCTAATCTTAAATCTTTTAAGATTATGAAAAAGATAAATAGCCCAAAAGAAACCTAAAGGATACCAAGAGATAATCCAGAGAAAGACACAAAAATGGCAGATGAGTAAGAAATCTACAGCTTCACTATTAAATACGAAAATACGAGTGAAAACAAGACACCTATTTTTGGCCATTAGGTTGGCAAAAATGTAAAAGATGGGTAATATCCGACGTTGGGTATTCTCATACACTATACATCGGTGTGACTTTTTATATCAAATTTAAAATGCACATCTCTCTCCCTCTCCTCCCTCTTTGGTGTGGAATTGTAGAAGTTCTTTATATATTTTGGGTACTAATCCTTTATAAGGTATGTCACTTGCAAACATCCTCTCCCATTTGGTAGGGTTGCTTTTTGGTTTCGTTGATGATTTCCTTCACTGTGCAAAAGCTTCTTATTTTGGTGTGGTCCAAATAATTTATTTTTGGTTTTGTTCCCTTTGCCTGAGCAGACGTTGCTAGAAAAATATTTCTACAGCTGACATTGAGAAACTACTGCCAGTGTTTTCTCCTAGGAATTTTATGGTTTTTGGAGAAAAAGGAACCATCATGCATTGTTGGTGGGAATGAAAAATAGTACAGTCATTGTGGAAAACAGCACGGAGTTTTCTCAAAAAAATTAAAAATGGGACTACCCTACGATCCAGCAATTATTTATTACTATTTAGTACTATTATTTATCCAAAGGCTATAAAAATATAGATTCAGAGGGGTACATGAACCCCAATGTTTATAGCAGCATTATCAACAACAACCAAGCTATGGAAAGAGCCCAAATGTCCATCAACTGCTGAATGGATAAAGAAGATGTGGTATATACACCCACACGTATACACACACTGGAGTATTAGCCATAAAAAAGACTGAGATCTAGCCATTTGCAATGACATGGTTGGAGCTAGACAGTATAATTATAAGTGAAATAAGTCAGAGAAAGAAAATACCATGATTTCACTCAAATGTAGAATTTAAGAAACAAAACAAATGAGCAAAAGGAAAAAAAAAAAAGGCAAACCAAGAAACAGACTCTTAACTATAGAGAACTAACTGACCATTACCAGGGGGCAGGTGGGTGGGGAATGGGTGAAATAGGTGAAGGAGATTGGGTCCACTTCCCATGATGAGCACTGAGTAATGTATAAAATTGTTCAATGACTATATTGCAAACCAGAAACAAATATAACACCGTATATTGTATTTCAACGAAAACAATTTAAAAGTAAAATGCACATCTCTGACATAAGTACACTTGTCACAACCAGAATATATGACTTCAGTAAATTATTTTTAAAAGCCCAGCAGGGGTGCCTGTGTGGCTCAGTCGGTTAAGCATCTGACTTTGGCTCAGGTTGTGATCTTGTGGTTGGTAGGTTCTCTGCTGTAAGTGCAGAGCCCGCTCTGGATCCTCCATCCCTTTCTCTCTCTTTATCTCCTCCGCTCTCTCTCCTCTCTCAGAAATAATTAAACATTAAAGAAAAAAAGAAATAAAAACCCAGCAGAGATCAAAGCCAAAGGGCCAATCTGCTGGGGGCCTGGAAAGGTTAAAACAGCAGGGCACGGGCTTCAGAGGTCAGACGGGAGCTCCTTCCACATCTGCAGAAGGTCACGGGAAAGACCACAGGGCACCCCGTGTGTGCAGGTCCCACCCGCGAGCGAACCCGTACCTCCACTCTGGGTTGAAGTTGCCCTCGGCCTGGAGGCTCTTCAGTTTCAGGATCATCATTTCATGAAGCTCCAGGAGGAAGGAGTCGAGGTCAGTCTGGTTCAGGAAAGTGCGAAGGCACTTGGCATTGTCTGGGCTGAGACCAACTTTGTACCTGGCACTGATTTCCCTGAAGGGCTCCTAGAATAGAGAAGAAGAGAGGCAGCAAGAGGCTGGCTGGGAGGACAGAGGGCGGCCCCCAGCCCAGCGGGGTGGGGCTGCACCCACCTTGTGCAGACGGAGCAGCTGTTCCGACCGGTGGGCCGACAGGAGCTGCCACAGTGCGATCGTGTGCTTCAGCTGGCATCGGTGTAAGGCCTGAAAGCGACAGGCTCCTGAGCGGGAGGCGGGGCTGGGCGGGGACAGGCTCCAGGGCAGGAGGCGGGGCTGGGCGGGGACAGGCTCCAGGGCAGGATGCGGGCCGGGAGGAACAGGCTCCCCAAGCAGGAGTAGGGGCTGGGCGGAGACAGGCTCCAGAGCAGGAGGCGGGGCTGGGTGGGGACAGGCTCCCCAAGCTGGAGGCGGGGCCGGGAGGGAACAGGCGGGCATGGGGCACTTTTGCCCCGGGCTCCTCTCTTCCCATAGCTGTGCACCAGCCGCTGGCCTCACCTCCAAAGCGCCACCCTTCCCCCGCCATATCTCAGAGCCCCTTCCCATGGCGAGAGGGTGGCTGTCGCGCTGGGCCTCGCCTTGACGTGCCACTCTCACCTCCTGCCCTTTCCGGAGGTCGCCCAGGTGGGGACTCCCTTCGAGGGGCAAATCCCGGCAGGCAGTGGGGAGGGCTGCGTGGGTGAGGCCGCAGCGGAGCCCCAAGCAAGACCCACCTTCAGAACCAGTGCTGTCTGCTCGCCCATGCGCAGCACGTCCTGGACGTACACGTTCAAAGGCATGTTGGGGTTGCCGCCAGCCGTGCTCAGGAACCCCAAAGTGACTTCTATGAGCGACAGGGCCTCACAGGCATCGCTGTAGGACTGCAGCTGTCCGCAGATGGCGCTGATGGCCGCGTTGTGGAGGGGTTTCTAGGAAATCAAAGGCGGGACAGGGGTCCGTGGCTGGGGGTTTCTTGTGCCTCATACCCGGCAAGCGGGCTTACCTACTTCACGGCCAAGGCCTTAAGGTGAGAGACCTACCAATAATGACAGTTAATGCTCGGTGATTCTGGGGCAGGAATCACCTGCCTCGGTGATTCTGGGGCAGCAGTGCCCCAGACACTTTACAGAAATGGACGTGAACTCACAGTCCTCCAAGCAACCTTGTGAGGATATTCGCACGGCCGCGCGCGTGCTCACACCCCCACACACCCACACACAAGTCCAAAGAGCGGGAATAGATAAGTTCTCTGGACCTTTTGCATCAGCACGCGTGGTCTGACATCATGACTAAGAAGCTACCACCAGGTTTCAACAAGAGAACTCTTGCTGATTTGCTGCCCTGCTGGCCTTCTGGAAAGAACAGTGGGCTCAGGGAATGCGGTGAGGCCGCTGGAACCTGGCAGTGCTCCCAGCAAGGCTGAGCGGTCCTCCCCAAGAGGAAGCCACCACCACCGGGTAAAAGCACCGTGCGAGCGGGGTGGTGTGCTGTGATCACCTGTGGCATTTTGCTCTTGATGTCCGCAAAGAGATGCTCATAGTTCCAGTCACGTCTGTGCACCAGAGTGGGGATTCCCTGAATTGACAAAGAAAACAGCCTTTGGAGATGGAATCCACCGCGGAAGTTTCTGTCCGACGACAACTCTATACCTGAGCGGTGACCCAACGGCAGGCCCGTGCTCCTCAGCATGTCGCCGGACAGAGTGTGCCGCTCTTGGCGGCCGTGTGAGGTCTGTGTTTGACCCACGGTCTACAGAAACAGTGACACGGCAAGGGACCCGGCCTCGCCCTGACGGCCAAGCAGGTGCCGACGCGCAGAATGCGACAGGCTTGCTGGCCACTGGAGGGAGCAGGTACACGGGGACCTCCCGTTCCTGTACGCCCCCAACCACTACGGGGCACAGACAACGGGACAGCAGAGCGGCTTAAGACAGCCCTGGGTGCAACAGGTCAGGGCTTCACCGCTGGCAGTGAGGGAGCACACACACGGAACCAGTGTCCCCGACTGGACCCGGCAGGGACGAGAACAGCCCAGGTGAAAGAACAGAGATGTGGCAGGTGCACGGTGTGTTCAGGGAGGGAGGGCGGCTCGGTGTGTGAATCAACCGGCTGGAGAAGGCCTGCGGCAAGCAGTGTGGGCGTTACCCCACGCGCACCGGGACACCAGTCGGCCTCAGGGCCGTCACCAGGGAGCGACGTGGGCCAGATGTGGTTCCGGAATGTGGCCTGAAGACTCGGAAGGCAGGGAGCAGTGGGCCTGTGGCAGTTACACAGGTGCCGTGGTGTCGGGTGACAGGCTGTGTGTGGAGTGTGAAGGAGCGGGTGGCCGCCAGGGGCCGTCGGGGGCGGAGGCGATGCCGTTAACGACACGGGGACCTGAAGAGGCCCAGAGGTACGGAGGGGACCCAGGTTCTGGCCTCTGGGGGGACCGCACGGCTGGACGGTCATCCCTGTGCCCGTCTCGCTCAGAAACAGCTGGGATGCAAGGCCAACTTTCACAAAACAGACGTGCCGGCCCGACAAGTCCCGCAGGGTGGGGGGGGACAGCCGCACCTTGAGCGTGAGCCTGGGTTTGCCCTGGAGGAAGCGGCCGGTGACCTGGCGCTGGATCTTCTCCAGGTCGAACTCCTGCAGGGTCTCCTGGCCCTGCTCCACCCTGTACTGGCAGTTGGAGAGGATCAGGGGCACGAGGTCCCGCTCGACTTCGTAACTGATGACGTGCAGGTCCGTGACCTCGGAGGCATCGACCGTGTAGCTGAGGGACACACGGACGTGGTGCTCGGGGACCCACCCGGAGCGGGCTCCCGGCTCCCGCCCTCCGTCCCGGCGGGCGAGCGCGCTGCCCGGGCCCGTGCACCCGGCCGAGGCAGGGAAGTGTGCCCGCCCCCGCGGCCCCCGCGACCCCGCAACCCCGCGACCCCCATCTCAGACACGGCTCCCGCGGCCAGCCGTGCGCTCACCCGTTGTTTTCTCCGGAGAACTCTCCTACCGCGTGGACCATTTCGTTGTGCAGCCTGATCAAATAGCTGACTAAGGCAGTGGAGCAGAGGCCCCGGCCCCGGCGACGCGGCAGAATGACCTCGAAGTCGGTGTCCTCGTCCAGGTCGGCATCGCAGTATTCTTTGGGCAGCTTGATTTCACCTTGGGAGGACGGGGAGCCCTCAGCAGAGAGGCCTCTGCTCACCTCCAGGCCGGCGCCCAAGCCCGCGGGCGCTCTGCGCACTCGGTCCCCACCGCCCTCACGCGCCCACCGGTTTCAAACGTTCTCAGCTCCTTCCTGAGCCCACATCCACAGATCCGAGACGACCCACGGGTTACTTCTTTCGTGGTATGTTAGTTCGCTTGCCCCCGACACCTGTGCCCAGAGACTCACGGACCAGGGTCGGGAGGGAGACAGGGAGCGTGGCACCTACCACTGGTCTCCAGTGACACCCTCAGCTTGTTCCACGTCGACAGAAAGATACGGATTCTCTTGCGGAGTAACTGCTTCAACCCATCTGTCCGACAAAACAGCTTCTAAGGGCCCCGTGAAAACTACCCAGTCGGGTCCGACCAACACCGTCGCGCGCTCTTTGGGAAGGGCCCGGCTTTGCGTCTCCGGCCTCACCAGCGTGTGTGAGTGCGGACGCCGAGTTCCAGCCGCAGCCAAGCCTCTTTTGGGCTTTTGGGATTCACGGCACCCGTTACTTCGCACTGAAGGCTGAGGGGACAGAGGCCCCGAGCCCCGGGCTGGCTGCAGAGGTCTCTGCGAACCCCCAAACAGCTGGCGCTGACCTCCTCCTGGAGCGGAGACGTACCTTCGTGGTGACTGCTGATAAAAGCTCGGATGGACTGGTAGTCAGCTTCCGAAACGTTCTGGAACTGCTTCACTAGATCCCTCTGCAGGGCCAAGATCTCAGGCAGCGATTTCACCAGCCTCAGCTCTGCCTCCTGCCGAGGGAAGACCGCCAGGCCGCACGTGAGTTCACCTGTCCCACGTTCCTGGGGACACGGGCTCCGGGGCTGGCTCAGGACCCGGGTTTGCATCGGAGCCGGTCGAGGCGCCATTTTACGTGACGCCCCCGCGGGCTCCTCGGGAACAGGAAAAGGCCGTTTCCATCTTTCCCAAGTGCCTGCCGCCTGCCAGCAGGACACCCTGCACGCTAGGGACGGAGACGCCAGCGGGACGCGGTCCCTGCCGTCACGGCGCTGACACGTCACACGTGTCTGCCGAACACTCGACAAAGAAACCGGCCTCCTGGGCCCCGGCGACGGGCTGGCTGTGCAGGAATCTGCCAAGAGCAGAGGCTGGGGATTTAGGCGCCGGCGCCCGGCGTCGCTCCCGTGTGTCGTCGGAGCCCCAGGAGACCCTCCCTGCTTGGGCTCCTGCCCTCCTGCTGACCGACAGGCATCGCACTTGTCCCGAAAGCCGACACTGGTACACGGCAGGGAGGGGGAGACAGACGCTACCACAGAAGGCGAAGTTTCAGGGGGCACGAGGCTCAAATGGGGCCTGTTTCCGGTCTCGGCCCGACGGGACACTTCACTGCTCCCTTCCCCCCACCCCCAACACCTTTCTTCCTTCTGAGGCCGAGTCTGGGACACGGCAGACTCTTTTTGTCTGTTGGTTTCATTCTGGTTACGTGTTCCCAACGAAAAAAGCTTTTTCTTTCCACAGACCCTCACTGATGGCCAAGCGCTCCCGGCACCGGGGCCAGGATGGTGGACGGGCACCCCCCGGGATGACCTGAGTTGTGTTCCTTCTTGCTGAGTGACCGGGGAGATACCATCCTGGCTCTCACGTTCTTTACGGACTCCCGATTCCTGCCAACTCCGACCGGTGTATTTCCTCGGTGACTTTATGCTTCAAACTGCCTCACGGCCTGACGTGCATGAGGAACCTACCCTCCCCTGCCACAGGTGGTCCAGCAAGAAAGCAGAGCCCTGGGGCACCAGGGACATGGGCAGGTGGTCACACAGGGGCAGCCTTACCTTCTGCAGGAACTTCCGGAGTATGGGCACTGTGTCTTTGCTAGAATTCTGCTCCACGACGTGCTGCAGATACTCAACCGTGACCCTCCTCCTGCAGGCCCACATCTTAGAGCAGTGGACCACACTCTTCTGGGGCAGGTGAGGCAGGAAGGCCCCGGGGTCACCGTACACGATTCTGGCCACGGGGTTGGAGCTGATCCGCTCGTCCTGGCTGATCTGGGTGGTGACGGTCAGCAGTGCTTTCTCCAGATGCTGATGCTGGGTGCGAGAGCAGCACAGGGTTCTGGAGGTGAGGCCGCTCACGCAGACCGCGACACGGGGGCTCCACCAGTGGGCAAGGTAGGGCGTCCGCCCTCCCCGGTTTAGCAAGCGACCAAGTTCTCTTTCACGATGATTTTCAGGCTCCTTGCCTGTGGGCTCATGTCTCCCCAGATGAGAGACCCAGAGACCCGAACTGTATCCCCATCTTTTACTTGGTGGCTTTTATCTCCCTCCGGGTGTATTTACTCCCAGTACCGTTCTTATCTGAGAGGAGCGGTGAATCCACGAGTACCCGTATTAAAAGTAGCGGACAGAAAGCCACCTACCCCTCCTGGACTCACAGTAATTCCTCAACCGGCCAGCCCGGCCTCCGGGACGGAGGGCACGGGGACAGCAGAATGGCAGATGGGGCCGGTGGCCCACACCTGCGCCTGGGGTTCCGCCAGCGGCCCCACAGCCCTTGCGCGAGGGACGACGCACAGCCCAAGCGCCCAGGACGCTCGCAGGACACCCACCCGTGGGCTCCCAGCCGGCCGCCAGGGCCGCGTACCTCCAGCTCAGGGAGAATGAGTGTCTGCATGGCCTTCTCCCAGCTGTTTCGGAACTCTCTGGACGACAGCCTCTCATCGAAGTTGAACATTCCTACAAGGAAACACACGTTACCCAAGGAAAAGAAACCACAGCAGCTACGTAAACACTGACTAAAGGCGAGACCAAAGTCACGCTCCCTTCTAGCAGGGGGACGAGGGGGGATGTGGGGCACTTCTTGCTAAATTAACCTGAGTGTTTCAAAACGGTCCCTGCTGCTCCCAGCAAGCCCAGGATCGTGGTGAAGATAGAAACAGACAGAAAATAAAGTGACTCTCAACGCCGCCACTCAGAAATAGCCATTCTGCTACGTCACCTTGAAGACCTTCCCTTTCCACGGGTTTCAGTCTTTAAAGTGGGAACATTGGCTCAGTGACCACAGTGGTCTGTAGCCCCCTTTTCTTTTTTTTTTTTTTTTTTAATTTTTTTTTTCCAACGTTTATTATTTTGGGACAGAGAGAGACAGAGCATGAATGGGAGGCAGAGAGGGAGGCATCGAAAGAATCAGGCTCAGGCTCTGACAGCCAGAGCCAACAGACGCTGGGGCTCGAACTCACGGGATCACAGATCGTGACCTGGACTGGCTGGAAGTCGGACGCTTAACTGACTGCACCACCCAGGCACCCCTGTAGCCCCCTTTTCCACGGGACCAACTGTGGACTCGGGAACACGGGCAGGTAATCCCGCACTATGTCCCATTGTCATAGCAAAGCAGAACCCACACAGGCCGGGGGGGCCACACAGTCCCAGAAGAGGACAAGTCCCAACAGAGGAGCAGACACTGGTCTCTGGACAGTGGGGACTCAGACGCCCTGCCCGCCCTGGATGACGACAGTTTCGGCCTCCCTTGCCAAGACGCTACAAGCACATGTGACGCCTCGTGCACCGCAGCGACCCAGCGGGGAAAGCGCAAAGACAAGAGCCGCCCTTCCCTCTGCTCGTCCTCACACCCCTCCCCGCTTCCCTTATCCGTCCCCGCCGATGTTGAGGAGTATTCCGTGCCGCCCCAGCCCCCCCCCCGCCTCGCCCCTCGAGCTCACTCTGGCCGGAGGGGTGGCGCTGCCTTCCCAGGAGGCTGCGCAGGACGAGGTGCACGGCGTTGATGGCCTCGTCGGCGCTCCTGCCCAGCGTCCTCGTCAACTGCTCCAGGTCCTGCTGGATGTGCTGCTGCAGAAACCCTCTGGGGTCCCTCACCGGAGGCTTGATGATGTTTATCACAGCCTGCGAGGGACATGAGATCTTGTCTGCGGGGAGCCGGCGGGCCTGGCACACGCCCCCAGGAAGAACGGCCGGTGCCGAGTCAGAGGGCGCTGGGGAGGGGCGGAAGCACCCCGCGCACAGAGGCGGCGGGGCGGCGAAAGTGACCCTGTGACATCGTCAGCGTGACCTCGGGCCCACGCGGCCCTGCTCTCAGCTCGCTGAAAACATGCTGTGTCCCTCACGCGTTAGGGCACACGTTCGTACGGTCACGTGTGCAAGCACGTGGGAACAGCCTCATCCCTAGCTCGTTAAAGCTACACTGCACGCAAATCCAAAACAAACAAGTAAATAAACCCTCAGGGGCCCAACGTTCGGCCTTCATGGTTCATTAACTTCGAGGGGACGCGCTGCGCTTTCTTCCCCTGAGCTCCAGCGAAGACACGGGTAACGTCGCGGTCGAGTAGCCTCCCCGCTCCCAGTGTGCACCGAGACGCAGAGTGTTTGTTTAAACTTTGATAGTAAGACTTATTTTGCCAGGGCGCCTGGGGGGCTCAGGTCGTGATCTCACAGTTCGTGAGTTCGGGCCCCGCGTCAGGCTCTGTACTGACAGCTCGGAGCCTGGAGCCTGCTTTGGATTCCGTGTCTCCTCTCTCTCTGCTCCTCCCCTGCTCGCTATCTCTCTCAAAAGCAAATAAACATTGGGGCGCCTGGGTGGTTCAGTCGGTTGAGCGTCCGACTTCAGCTCAGGTTGTGATCTTGCGGTTCGTGGGTTCGGGCCCCGCGTCGGGCTCTGTGCTGACGGCTCGGAGCCTGGAGCCCGTTTCGGATTCTGTGTCTCCCTCTCTCTGCCCCTCCCCTGCTCATGCTCTGTCTCTCTCTCAAAAATAAACAAACACTCAAAAAATTAAAAACAAAGAAAATGGATTTTACGGAACCTGATGGGGAGGGCCCCCCGCCAGCGGGGAAACGAGGGGTGTGTGAACCTTACGCTACTTTGCGGATTTGGCAACAAATACGTACTCCTGACCCGCAGGAGGTGGCCAGCACTTTTTGGACAAAACGACTCGCGGGTCGTTACAAATTGGCGACCGAACGCGAGGCTTGCGGGCCGTACCTCAGGACTCTGGGCCGCCCCCAGGAGCATGGCCAGGTGGGTGAGCAGTCGTAGGAGCAGGAAGACCGCGGGGGCCAGCTGTCGGTCGGACACCACCGTCTCGCGTCTGCCCAGCGCGACTCCCAGCACGTGGCCAGTCTGCGTTCTGTCTGTGTGGTTTCTGGAGAGGACGAGAGAAGACAGGGTAGAGACTGAAGACGGTCATCTCTCCTCGGCCCCAGGGGCACACCTCGGACTCTCGGGCCGGCAGACGAGGTTCGCATTTGGAAGAGAACGGTGCCATGGTACTCGTCGCCGGGACCACTCGCCTCGGGGCGTCCCCCTTCCAGCCTCACCTTCCCGTCTGACCGGCAGCCCGCGGCATTCTCAGCGTGAGGCGGCTGACCCGAGCGGCCACCTGCGCTGCCCCCGAGCCGCGTGTCCAGACAGGGGTCTGCACCTGCTCCTTCCTCTGAAGGGGGGGTAGGTAGGCTAGGGACAGGTGACGTGGACATCGGGGGCATGTGCACCCCGATCTCATTTTCCCCAAATCAGAAATGGGATGGAAGGCCCGGCAAAGAATTTCGTGTCGCACCCAGGTGGGAGGCACAGCAGGACAGACGGCTGCAAAAATACTGGAGATTCTGGGACGTTCCGACAGTTTGTGGCGATAACAGGCTAGGATATTTTAAACTGTAATGGCAGCAGACTAGCGAAAATGTGATGGCCATGGAGGGGCCCCAGCTGCCCTCTGGGGGAGCACGGAGAGCCACACTCCTCTCGAGAGAAGGCTGGGATCAGGACACCAGCCTAGGACTGTTTGATAAGACGGACTCTGTCTCCTTCACGTCCCGCAAACAGTGGTGGCAGCTGAGAGGCTCCAAGTGAGACGGCGTGGGCTCAGATAGAAAAATGCCCACGTCGTGGCTTCGCAGATTTAACTGTCGCTCTGAACCAGGTCACTTGCGTATGGCAAGCATATCTGTACGGGGGCCGCGCCCTAGGCCCGAACAGAAGACATCTGAATAACAGGTGTTAATGCAAGTATGTATCCATGTGTGGCCTTATTTACAGAGAAGAGGCCAGTCAGGGGCGCCTGGGGGGCTCAGTCGGTTGAGCATCCGACTTCGGCTCAGGTCATGATCTCGCGGTTCGTATGTCCAAGCCCCGCATTGGACTCTGTGCTGGCAGCTGGGAGCCTGCTTGGGATTCTCTCTCTGCTCCTCCCCCTCTCATGCTGTCTCTGTCTCCCTCAAAATAAATAAATACACTTTTCAAAAGATGAAATAAATAAAATCTTTGAAAAACCAAAATTTCTGCAAAAAACCCA